ACGCTCGTCCATCCTTTTGAGGAGGCCAGAGCCGAGCGCGAGCATTGACCTTCACCCGAGAAGAACATCCGGGTATGTCTATGCTCGTCCATCCTCTTGAGGAGGACGAAGCCGAGCGCGAGTGTTGACCTTCATTCGGGAAGAACATCCGGGTATGGCCTACGCTCGTCCATCCTCTTGAGGAAGACAGAGCCGAGCGCGAGTGTTGACCTTCATCCGGGAAGTACATCCGGGTATGGCCTACGCTCGTCCATCCTCTTGAGGAGGACGGAGCCAAGCGCGAGTGTTGACCTTCATCCGGGAAGAACATCCGGGTATGGCCTACGCTCGTCCATCCTCTTGAGGAGGACGGAGCCGAGCGCGAGTGTTTGACCTTCATCCGGGAAGAACATCCGGGTATGGCATACGCTCGTCCTTTATTATGAGGAGGACAGAGCCGAGCGCGAGTATTGACCTTCATCCGGGAAGAACATCCGGGTATGGCCTACGCTCTCTTGTGCGGGGCCGTGCTTACGCTTGGGCTCGCTTTACCAAAGACGTGCTCGACTCGTCTCGGTGCCCAACCGAGGGCGAGCGCGGGCTTACTTTATCCTCGTGGAGCTCTGCCCAAACCTTGGCCTTGGTGCCTTTGCCCACCGGTCCATTCTAAGGCGTTTGTGCCGTGTACTATCCCCTTTTTCAGGGATGAATAAGATATGAATTTGATTTTATGTCTCGTTTTTTTAGTTATTATTTTTAGCGTGCGTGTTTGACCTCCATCCGGGAAGAACATCCGGGTATGGCCTGCGCTCGACTTCCCTCCCCGAGGAGGAGCGCCGAGCGCGAGTGTTTGACCTCCATCCAGGAAGAACATCCGGGTATGGTCTGCGCTCGGCTTCCCTCCCCGAGGAGGAGCGCCGAGCGCGAGTGTCTTACCTTCATCCGGGAAGAACATCCGGGTATGGTCTGCGCTCGACCCTCCTCCTAAGGAGGAACGCCGAGCACGAGTGTTTGACCTTCGTCCGGGAAGAACATCCGGGTATGGTCTGCGCTCGACCTTCCTCCTGAGGAGGAGCGCCGAGCACGAGTGTTTGACCTTCATCTGGGAAGAACATCCGGGTATGGTCTACGCTCGGCCTTCCTCCTGAGGAGGAGCGCCAAGCGCGAGTGTCTGACCTTCATCCGGGAAAAACATCCGGGTATGGTCTGCGCTCGGCCTTCCTCCCGAGGAGGAGTGCCAAACGCGAGTGTCTGACCTTCATCCGGGAAGAACATCCGGGTATGGTCTGCGCTCGGCCTTCCTCTTGAAGAGGAGCGCCGAGCACGAGTGTTTGACCTTCGTCCGGGAAGAACATCCGAGTATGGTCTGCGCTCGACCTTCCTCCTGAGGAGGAGCGCCGAGCACGAGTGTTCAAGCGAGCTCTTTTTGCAAAAACTTCATTCCATTGAGTTCAACCGAAAAGATGTACGCTCGCTTGTATAGTTTCCGCCCTCCAAAGTGTATCCGGGTGCCCTAGTCCGGACCAGCTTGGCCTTTTTTTCATCATCCGGGAGGGCGGAAGGCGACCATATCGTCCATCCAATCTCTTGGACAAGCGACAGATCATTGCCACAGTGAAGGCATGGATGCTCGGCTCGGACAACTCTTCCACGTTCGCCATTCGCCTGATATGCTCGGGCGTGTCCGAGCTCAGCTTCGACAGGAGCGCTTCATATTCCACGTCATTGTTTGATGCCTTGAAACCGAATCAAATTGAGTAGTATGCTCTGAAGCCTTCGGGAGCGATGACTACCACTCCACCCCCAAGTTTTTGGCGGCGGAGTTGCCGTCGGTAAAAACTATCCACCAGTCATTGGCTTCCGGCTCTTCCGGGCTCGGCTCCTCCCAAGCGGTGCACTCTACCATGAAGTCAGCTAGCGCTTGGCCCTTGATCGCCGGCCTTGGCTTGAATTCGATCTGGAAAGCTCCAAGGAACACCGCCCACTTGGACATGCGCGAGGGCGCGTTCGGGTTCCTGAGCAGCGCACCAATGGGCTGTTGGGAGAGCACTTGAACCGGGTGAGCTTGGAAGTAGGGTGTTAGACGCTGCACGGTTGAAACCACGGCGAGGACCGTCTTTTCGGCTACTGAGTATCTAAGCTCGACACCCCTCAGCGTCTTCGCCGTATAATACACCAGGTGTTGAGCTCCACCTTCGTCTCGGACTAGGACCGAGCTCAAAGCTTTGGGTGAAACTCCCAAGTATAAGTACAACGTCTCCCCCGCTTCGGGCTTCGCGAGAACCGGAGGAGAGAGGAGGTAGGACTTAAGGGATTCAAAGGATTGTTGGCATTCTTCCGTCCACACGAACCCTCGGGACTTCTTTACCGCTTGGAAGAACGGAGCGGCTCGGTCCGCCACCTTGGAAAGGAAGCGGCTAAGCGCAGCCAACTTTCCGGTCAAGCGCTGCACCTCCTTGACATTTCGTGGAGCTTCCATGTCAAGGATGGCGCGCACCTTCTCGGGGTTGGGCTCAATACCGCGCCTGCTCACCATATGTCCCAAGAATTTGCCACCCTGAACTCCAAACGTGCACTTCTTCGAGTTCAACCGAAGGTTATACTTCTCCATAATCTTGAAAACTCCTTCTAAGTCTTCCGCATGGGTGGTCGCATGCTTGCTCTTCACAATCATGTCGTCGACGTACGCTTCCATGCTCTTCCCGAGGACGGGTGCAAAGAGCTTGCTCACCATCTTAGCGTAAGTCGCCCCGGCGTTCTTGAGCCCGAAAGGCATCACCTTATAACAATATACTCCGCCGGGGGTAGTGAAAGATGTCTTCTCTTCGTCCTTAGGGTGCATCCGGATTTGGTGGTACCCGCTGAAGGCGTCCATGAAACTCATGAGCTCGCAGCCCGCCGTTTCGTCCACCAGCTGGTCGATGTTCGGGAGTGGGAACGCATCCATAGGGCAGGCCTTGTGTAACACCCTAATCCATCCAGGTCTGCAGCCCCTTTCGGACTAAAGTATTTAACTTGGTAATCGTAAAATTTAAAACTTTTCAAACACACTTTATTAATCTCAATAATATTTTTCATAACATATACAGTACGGAGTATTTAAGAATATTGCGGAAGCGAACTTAATATTGACATATCATAAATCATTTCAAACTTGTCACATCCATCCCGACAATATCGCCCCATCTGCCGTCAGGATCACATTAATCTTTCTGTTTACCTGCGTGTAGCAAATAAAACACACTACACGCTCAGCGGTAAAGCTGAGTAAGCATATCTAATGCGTCGAACATCCATATAAACTGAATCTAAATTCATAATCAAATCTTTTGATATCATGCACACAATGTTCGTTTCAGACATTCAGAGTTTTGATATTATTCAGTTCATATCAACACATTTTATTCAATTCAGATACTATTTCAATAGTGCTCTTAAATTATTCTTAATCTAAGGCCAGATCATAACAACGCTCTTAGCTATTCTTAGTCTAAGGCCAGGTCATAATAATGCTCTTAGCTATTCTTAGTCTAAGGCCAAATCATAATTTCATTCTCAGACGCTTAAACTATAATTAGTTTAAGGCAA